GAAAGTTTGAAGACTTTAGCTTTACTTTATAATTGATTAATATTTTCTGTAGCTTTGTCAAAGCACTGAGTCTATGTTCTGTAAAGCAGCTGGTTTAACCCAGGTAGATGTCACACGATATTTGCATATTCATTTAGTTAAAAAAAGATATCACTTCCTCTGAAGTGTCATGTTTTTGCTGAAGTTCAGATGCTTCTTGTTAAACGTGTGTGTGTGTGTGTTCATTAGTGGAAAGAATGTAGATTACAGTCATTAACAGGGTGCCGAAGACAAACCAGTTTCCTACTCATCCATCAAATTTTAGGAACTAAATCTAAATCAGAAAGAGGCAGATGTCCAAAACACACAGGCTGAGAAGGACAGACTCATTCTTCAGCTGCAGCTCATTGGAGCATCAGGCGAACCGGCGCACACACACACACATACACACTGCAGTAGCAGCCCGGAGAAGCACGAGAAGGCTTCTCCTTAAATGGTCAAAGCTCCCAGGAGTCACAGGAAGGCTGGTGCAGGAAAAAAAAGTCAGGGAGAGGAAAAGAGAGAGGACGCTGACGATTGTGGAGCTTTGAGGAAAAATATCAACAAAGAGGGCTTTGAAGGGAATAGTGTGCTGTTGAGAGAGCATCTTTCATCATTGTTGGCCAATCAGGTAGAGTTTCAGCAAGTTTTTCTTTGCATGGATTGATTTGTTCTCTTGAGACAAGAGCTTGCGGCGGACACTTCCAGAGAGAAGCACTTTAAAGTCCACAACATGGTTTCCTGGAAGGTGTGACATTATTTTGTGTATTAGAATGTGGAATCTGATGGCCTGAAATGCACTTTTATGATGTACAAATTGACACATTTTGGTCACGTATACAAAAGTCTGAGACCACATTTAAAATCTGCCATTGAATCATCATCTAATTTAAACATGGACATAAACAAAGTTTTAGATTCTGCACTATTTCTAGGTCACTGATTAAAAATGCAAATTTGTGTATTTGTGACATTGATCATGTGACTCCAGACGGTCAGATGTTCTTGTTTCCACTGAAGCTCAAGCTGCTCTTTGGATGATGCTTGAATCATGCAGGACAACATGATCATCAGATTTTACACAAACTTTATGTCAGACTGCATGCTGCTGTCATTAAAGCTAAAAAATAAACCAAATAGTACACTGAATTTATTCCTGATCTAACCATTACATTGAGTTTTGTTGATTTAACTCGGTGTATTTAGGGTACGTTTACACGACAACTATGTACTTAAAAAGTGTAAAAGTATTTCCTTCTCGTACTGACGACACCATTGTGGTTTCACACGGATCCACGAAATGACTAAGAACGCTCTATTACACTGCCAGGCCAGTAGTTGGCGATATCACTTTGTAAAGAAACACTACGCGTCTATAGACTTAACGCAAAATACACATGCGCATGACGTCACCGTTTTTACAAATTCGTTTTTGTAGTTTACACGGAGACGATAACGGTATAGTTTTCAAAAAACTTGCACATTGAATCCCGTTTTTAAAAGTTAGCATTTTCATGCCTCCAAAAAGCCGGTCGTGTAAACGAATGGCTAAAACGCATAAAAAGTTTAACGTTGAAAATAGTGTCATGTAAACGGCCTCTTAGGTCCATTCTGTGATGTAAAATATTGTTTTTTAATTCAATATTTGCTTCAATGTTCGTAGAATTCTTGATTCAACTTTTTACTTAAATTATTATGCTGAAAGTGTATATTTAATTTAAAAAGACAATCCAAAATGCTTTTCCACTAGAGGTCCCATACTTTTCACCCCATTGTATTCTTCACCATCTTTCTCAAAAGATGCCGGTAAAGGTGAAATTCTGAAAATGGCCTTTATCAGTCCATGCTTTTCTTATGTGCACCAAAAGAATGCAGAAATCTAGTTAGTTGCTGTTCCTGGCAGGTTTTTGATGATGCTCACCAGAATCGCCTCTTTCTCAAATCTTTTACAGTGACTGAATAGCAACCACTTCCCAACCAAACTTTCAGCAAATCTGGCTCACTGTCTCTGTGTTGCATAACCGGTGAAGGGAGGGGGGGCAGAACATGCACTTTTCTCATGCAGTCGCGTCAGAGCTTTTGCCATGAGGTAACGCTGAGGTCATCAGGGCCCCGGAGGGACTTGCCACCGAGATGGCCTTCCATCCTCCCCAAAATTTATAAGAGTTGAGCTCTTAGTGGTGACAGTCAAAGGCCAATTAAAAATAGAACTGTTCAGTGAGAAGAGAGCCTTCACTGACCACAGAGAGAGAGAGAGAAAGCTCACAAATAGACTCATGGCCAGCAGGAAATAATCAAGGTGATTCGATTACAATGCAATATTCATCTGGGTGTCATGCTCAGCGGGGGAACGGGCTCCTGGACTCCTGTCTGGCCTCTCTGTACGACTGATGATGGCTGAAATCATTTAGAGTGCCCTACCATCTCATTATCCTTATATACAACGCATATATGCTTTTTCAGATTTACATACTCTTGTCATAGTCTTGGTTATTGTGATATTGTTTAAGAGGTGAAAGCATGGCTGACATTGAATCTGACCCTCTCTGGACACTACCATACAAAAGTTTGAAAGAAGCCTCTTATGCTCACCAAGGCTGTATATATTTGATCAAACAGTAGTATTGTGAAATATTATTACAATTTAAAATAACTGTTTTTTAATACATTTTAAAATGTAATTTAGTCCTGTGATGCAAAGCTGAATTTTCAGCATCATTAGTCCAGTCTTCAGTGTCACATGATCCTTCATACACATTTCTTATTATGAACATTCATAATTATGAAATTATGAATGTTGTGGTGCTGCACATTTTTGTGGAAACCGTGATAAATATTTTTCCGGATTCATTGATGGATAGAGAAGTTAAGAGGAGCAGCATTTAAATTTTTTTTTTGTAACAATGCATGTCTTTGCTGTAACTTTTGATCAATGTAATGCATCTTTGCTGAATAAAAGTATTAATTTCTTTATTTCAATCATCATACTGACCCCAAACTTTTGAATGGTTGGGTAAAAATTGAATTGGTCACATAGTGGAGAGTGAAAAGTAGTTACAGACGTTGCAGGCTGGACTTGAACCTGCATAATCCACATGACCACCAGAGCTCAACATGTCTGGAGCATGATGTGCAAGATGCCCCAGACAGCAACATAGTGTCGGCCCAGATCCGGCCCACATCTGGCACACTTGGTTTCCATCTGGGCCGACACTATGTTGCTGTCTGGGGCTGATTTTATTGCTCACAGTTTGCTATTTCATAGAAGGAGACATAATGTAGTTGTTTTATCTTCTTGTATGTTAGCAGTAAGGGTAATTTGTAATTTTTTGCAGTAAGAGGGTATAGAGTTGTAATTGATTGTGAATGGCACAAGAATTTATTGACTTTTTGTTGCACGACTTAGAAATATTGGCAAATCTGAGCACATTTGAGGCATTATTGAGATCTTTGCTGAAACGCTACAGGAGACACATGTAAGATTACTAAGATCTTTTTTCAGGAAAAAAAACTCAAGTGCAGGAATTTAAGAAAAAGTCTCATTGCTATCTTAAAGAATCATTTGAGACCTCATTTGGGATTTGTCTTTTCCTGATGACTGTGTGCTTTTGAAACTGTGAAACTCTTGTCAAGTATGTTTCATCGCAAAACATGATTCATACATTCCCATGAAAATCAAGCCAATATAAATCATCAGTCCTTCGTGGAAAAGATTGTTTTTATATTGTGCATTTAAAACCGCTATCTCTTCCTCTCAGAAGGAACATTCTCTTATTTAAGTAAAAGTGTTAAATCCTTTTTGATTTCATCACTTTTAAATGTCAATGGTATTTTGAAGGGCCTTTTCTGATAAGATAATAAAACACAGAGTACAACAGAACAGAGGAAAGATTCTTGAACTTCATCTGGCATAAAATCATCATTGAATTGTGTGTATTGTGTTCCGTATATCCGTTAAGGCCAGCAAAAACCCAACTGCAAGCCTCCTAGTTCAGGACCCTGGTTCACCATCTGAGCTTTGGCTGGAACGCACCGTCAGTGTTTGTTCTGAGCCCGTGTCTACAGGTAATATCTGACAGCCATTACAATGTTCTGTCCTAACTGTGTTTGGCTGTGTTGCTCAGGGGTTGCTCTTTCACAGCTCAGGTGTTCTCGGTTATGATTCAAAGAAGTAACTTTGCCTCAGATGTTTTATCTGAAATAATAAACGTGACTATTGGCATACAGTAAGAGTAGAGAGCTGTTTGGTCTGGAAGAATCTGGTGTTCGAGTTCATATTGAAATCTCTGACTTTTGATTGCTGAATTTGGTGTCTTTGCAAATTTTACCACAGTTTGAGACATAGAGTAGCCTGGGAAAACCCAGACAACTTCCGGCAAATTTAGATTTGCTCTGAAAGTTAGTCTGGCAAAGAGCTCATTCAAGCTCATTTCCAATCCGTCGAAATCGAGGCACCAATCAGAAACGTTGGGGCGGGCTTTACACGATGACGACAGCGCTGGGATTTTGAAGCAGATTTTGTAGCCTACATTACAAAGATGGATGGCGCCGTCGAACATCACTCGTTCGAATCAGCTATCGCGTCTGTTTTAAGCGATTTGAACGTTTCCTTTTTGTTAAAAACCGAGCAAAGAACAACACTCGGAGATGTTTCTCCGCCGCTCTGCATACGTCATCTCCTTCATCGCTCTGATTGGTTTTAGGTCTATCCGCGACGTCCGTTGGTGACGCCCCTCTGGAAATGATTTGTCTATGACGCTTTGCCAGACCATAACTCAGTTACAACTGAGATGGTCTGGTTTTAACCTGGTTTAATTTCTTGTAAATTCTAGAGGCAACACATAACTTCTTCACAGTAGAGAAGATTACAAGAGTCTCAATTCAATTTGATTGCTCTCTAGGAAAAATAAGTGCAATGGGGGTAATTGAGGTATTTGAGACATCTCTTTGTCTGCTTAACATTACTGGTTCCTCTCCATCAGGTCTTCCATCTGTGGGAGCGATAAGCCCGAAGAGTCCTGCTTTACTCTGTGCTAAGAGCTCCTTGCCGGAACCGTCAGCTTGTGAAGAGCCCACGCCACACAACAGACAGGAGAATGTAGCTGGGTCAGTGTTTACATTCCTCTACCTCTTACAGGACAAGGCTTGTGTGTGTTTATGTAAAATCCTCACACAAAGATGATCCAGCGTGAGGTGAGACTGTGCAGGAACCAGAGTTTATACTGTCACCCACCGTGGCCCCAATAAATTACTTTGACTCCCAACTTTTAGCGTTGACCGAAAACCCCAAGGACACACTCTTCTTGGGTAATGCAATAGGAAATGTCTCAATCCTCTATTATTTTGATGTATTCGTACAAATATTTAGGGACCCGAATAAATGTATTTGAATAAGTTAATCTTGCACCATGTTGGTATAAAACTACAAAGAAAAAGAAGAAAAAAATATCTAGAAAAAATGATGAAGTGCATTAAAAATTACATTACGTCAGGGTTTTGGTGAAGGAACTACAATAAATAATTTTGTATTTATTTAAAAAAAAAACTTTATTTGTATTTATTTTATAAGAAAATAAAACTTTAATTTATTAAATATTTTAAATATATGATTAAATATTTCATTTGTTAATGTTTTGTGGCCTCTCACTTTTCCATATAATTATATAATTTAGGAACTTACATAAGCAATAGGACATTTTAGTTTTAGAAAGGAAAATTTAAAAGATAAAAAAAGAATTACTGTAGGGAGAATCAGTGAATTAAGAATAATTTTGTGAATATTAATCAATAAAAATGTAACTGTAGTCTGATTTTGAATATTTTTAAATGTAATTTAATATAATTAAAAGTATTTAATTTTTTTAATCTGATTACGTAATCCAAATGACATATAATCAGTTACTACCCAGCATTGTCACCAGAACACCTCAATCCACATTTTGCAGACTCTAAAACACCACCAAGCAAACTCTCAGGACAACGTAATAACTAACTAGCAACCAATAGGACACCCTAGTAACCACTAAACATCCTAGTTAATAAGCATCAGTAGCCCAAAACGACTGCATAGCAACACCCTGGCAACGTCCTGCAAACGCCTGGGTTTGGTATGGACAGATACCACTCACATTTTCATTCATAAGTAGTATATTATTATGTTGTGTTGTTCTGGATTGAATAGGTCATATTCCCTCAAGTGACTTTTGTTTGTTGTTTTCCTATAGTTTAGACCGGCCAGCAAGCAGTGACAGCTTCTTCCCAGAGTCAGAGGCCAGTGGGAGCACCTCAGCCTCAAACAAGGAAAAGTGCAGGAGTCCGGATAAAGAAGAGGCTGGATGTCAAGGAACTGAGCTACAAAACAGCAGCGGACAAACAGAGAGTTCTGGGAGGTGCCAAAAATCAGACTGTAGTGGTAGAACAGAGGCCTTAAAACTTTTGAACAAAGGACAGTCTTCCAAGTCAGGGGACGGTTGGGATAACCAAGGATTCAGTTCATCAGGGGAGAACCAAGTAGAGGATACCGGGAGGTGTCAAGAGGAAACTGAGGAGTCAGATTGCATTGGGAGGAGTCAAGAGGAATCTGAGTACAGTGGAAAGAGTCAAGCAAGGACAGGGAACAGTGAGACTCGAGAGGAACCCAAAACAAGTGACACATCTAAGAGTGTCCAATCCGCTGATCTCACTGACACTCCAGGGGTGAGTTATATCCATTATTATCAGACACTTTGTTGACCCATATCATTTTATCTGGTACTGATTCAGTGTCCACAAAGAGCTGTGAACCTTGGATATATTTACTGATAAAAACACATTGTTTACTAAAAATTTCTTCATTTAATTTCCATTACACCTTTGGAATCAATTGCCAAAAACCTGTAATCTTCCTTCCTCCTTTTAACCTGAACTCAAGAATGTTTTTCACGTTTAAGGAATGCATCCTTTCCAGTGTTTTGGTTCTCATATTCTGCTAATTGAGGGAGGGGTGTGAGTGTTTTTGTATGATCTAAGACAGGGGTGTCCAATCCTGTTCCTGGAGGGCCACCTTCCTGCAGAGTTTAGCTGCAACCCCAATTAAACACACACCTGAAACAAATAATCAAGGTCCTCAGGTGCTTACTATAAACCTCCAGGCAGGTGTATTAGGGTGGGTTGAAACTTTGCAGTACGTTGGCCCTCCAGGAGCAGGATTGGACACCCGTAATCTAGGAGCAAGGCCAGTAAAGGCGGGCGTACACTGTGTGAGTTCAGACACTCGGGAGGCAATTGCAAAAAATATTTCGCGCTAAACATGGAGACCGAAGCTTTCAATGTTGCTGCTATAGCTTCGGATAGAAAAAAGAAAGATAGAAAAAAAATGATAAATGTGCAAATTAGAGAGAGAGTGAGAGTGTCAATGTATGCACATGCTGTGGTTGCAGCCACTGGGCTATAGCTTAATAATATTCATAGATCTAGCCTATGTGTCGTGGTTGTGTAGGATTTTGCCAAATCCTATAGAGGACAGCGAAACTAGGGCCGACTACCCGAATTTCTTTAACAAATTGTCGGGAGGTGCTTGTAAGTAACGTACTTGGCTCATCTCGTAATTTCTCTCACACACTGCGAACCGCGACAATACGAACATCAACGATTTCTCCCGAGAAAAAAAATCGCCTGCGAGCTCGTACGACAGCAAAAATCGTACTGTTTGCGCCCGGCTTAAAGGGATACTCCACTTCTTTTTGGAAATAGGCTCATTTTACAACTCTGTTGAGTTTTACCGTTTTTGAATCCATTCAGCCGATCTCCGGTTCTGGCGGTACCACTTTTAGCATAGCTTAGCATACATCATTGAAGTGGACAAGACCATTAGCATTTCTAAAAAAAAAAATGACCAAAGAGTTTCGATATTTTTCCTATTTAAAACTTGACTCTTCTGTAGTTACATCGTGCACTAAGACCGACGGAAAATGTAAAGTTGCGATTTTCTAGGCTGATATGGCTAGGAACTATACTCTCATTCCTGCGTAATAATCAAGAAACTTTACTGCCGTACCATGAGAGCAGCAGGCGTAATGATATGACGCAGCGCCTGAAAATAGTTCCGTTGTGTTGACGGAAGGTAGCCTATTTTCAGGCGCTGCGTCATATCATTACGCCTGCTGCTCTCATGGTACGGCAGTAAAGTTTCTTGATTATTACGCAGGAATGAGAGTTCAATTTGAGAGAACAATTTCGGTAATAAGACGTGCAGAAACTACGATGGAAACACATTTATTGAATAAATTCCTTAATGCAGAACCAAAATGTCATGTGACTGAATAATTAGTTTAGAGAAGATTAGCCCCTTTCACACAGTAATCCCAGTAAATTACCGTAATGACTTTACCGGTCAATAAAAAAACATGCTGTTTACATAAGGAACGGCGTTTTGGCTTTTTTACCGTTAAGAGACCATTCACACATCATCACCAAAATTGCGGTACATTCTGTGATGTCAGTCATCGGAAATGATCTTTAAACGCTGCGCTGTTATAAGTCTTCATTCACCCGCATGACTCGTACATGCTCGTAACGGTAATCTCCATTCTTTCTTCACACACACCATCTTCCCTGGAATTTATTGGTAATATTACAACTTCTCATACCGGTAAATTGCCATAACCGATACTGGTATTTTTGAAAATCTCTTAACAGTAATTTACCAGTAAAGTCTGTGTGAAAGTGGCTAATGTAAACTGACCAAAATCTTTGCGTGGCATATGAAATATTCCTCTGGTTGTTTCTGAATTCAAAGACTTCCCGCAAAAATAGAGTATGGAACTACTGCAGATTGCTTGTATACAAACAAGAAGGTTAATTTTTCTGTGGATACTCCAAGCTGCAAATAGTTTATTATATTGAACAAATAAGCCACAGAATCTTTTACTTCCATTTTCCTTTATATTCTGCATCAATCTCTCTAGAAATGACTGTTTTGTTCTCTTCAACACACTGGATGGAAACACTGTTTTATCAGAAATGGCTTTTTCAGAATTCCAATTGTTCATATAAATAAAATTCACAAACTTGGTGTAAACCTGTCCATTTCGACTTGACTTGATCCATAAAGTAACCAACATCATAGCAACAACACATCAACTTACTCAGAACACCCCTGAATACCAGCATTATTCCATTAGTCATTAATACGATTTCAGTGTTATGGAGATGTGTGGGATGAGTGATGCAGGGTTTATTTGTGCTTATTTTCTTCTCTATAATCATAATGACTCAAATGTGAATTCTCTGCCTTTCACAACATGCAAACACTGTACAGTTTCTCTTCCCTTATAAGACATTCACTAAAATAGCATTTGTCTCTGAAATTGTCTCCTATTTTGTTTGGGTGTACAGGAAGCCAAAGATAGCTTTGGTAGCGTTTAGATGAGATGAGAATGGATTTGAACGAACATGGAATGCATTCCATTGGGAGAATGAAGGAGTCTCCTTTCTCCTCGATCTGTATCTTGAGCTGTGTTTATACAACAACTCGACAGACAAATGGCTTTACACAATTGAAACTGCAAGCCCCATTATGATTAGCTGCATTAATGACTCATGCATATTTTTAGACCTGCGTTTATGGTAGAGATAAGATGTTAGAGGTAATATAAGCAAGTGCTTCACTGTTGATGTTGTTCACACATTTATTCTGCAAAGAAGATTTTTTGTCTCTTGATGTTGACCCTTTTGGTACTCGTCATCACTGTTGCAGTAGTTCTGTACGCTGTATAAGATGCCATCAGTAACTGTTACTTTGCTCAAGGGAAACATTTCCTCTTGAACCTATTTGGGAGGCAGGAACAAAAGATTGGGCTTTGTGATAGGACAAATGCCAGAGGGGGAAACATGCATACATTTTGCCATGAAGATATGAAGTTTTACATCGTGGTTAAGAGGTAATGAGCTCACACATTGATGTCGTTATACTACTGTTATTATTTTGTGTTGTCTTGGTGTTACAGGTATTCACTAATATGAGTTGTTGAAGGGGTGAAAATTAAAATAAGAAGGATCTTGATTTTTTTTAATGCTTGTTTTGTCTTATTTTAAATCATTTTAAGACCACCTTGAAGTTTGTCAGCCCTTCTGAGAACAACTGATTTAGTGAGCATGTTGGCCGATAGTATATAATGCCAAAATATAGTTTAAACACAGCAAATGAGAGGCATGAAATGAACACTCATTTCATATATTTTTTTATGCAGTAATCACATCAAAAATTCAACAGAAATAGGTACATTTCCAATAAAAAAGCTAGGCGTTGGAGCTGTCAGAATGGCAAAGTGTCATTCGTTTAATCAGGCTAAGCGGCCTTTCGCTATTTGATTGTTTTCATTGAGGTACCTTGGAGTTTAGAAGTATATGAATATCGAGTTGCACTTTATTTTACAGTATGTGCACTTACTTGTACTTACAGTGTACTTACCTAAGAAAGTACTGGTAATATAAGGTAACTACATGGGGTTAGGTTTAGGGATAGGTTCAGGGTAAGTACCTAGTTATTACCCAGTTATTGCAATTACTATAATAAGTACATAGTATGCACATGGGCAACAGGACTGTAAAATAAAGTGCTACTGAATATGGCAATCATTCAGTAGCATGATATTACCATCAATGTACCACGGTACTGCCACAAACAGTACTGTTTGGTAAGAGACTGTATAAGATAGTTTTTTTTTATGTGTGTCTGTACAGGACCAAGAGGACCAATCTGCTGTATGTCAGTTCACACGCTCACAGGGTGAGCAAACTCCACTAAAGAGAGCTCATAGTTCCTTGACAGAGTCTGCCACCCCTTTTATCTTCCCACACACACGCTCTCGACCCCCTCTCACCCCTGCCATGCCCACCCTGCCCGAGGAAGAGGAAGACTCCCCAGAGGAGCTCAACAGTACATCCAGCTCGCCCTCCACAGTGAGTCGAACTATATTTTTCACATCACCGCCGTGACGCCTTTTCATTTCATCTCAGGTCCAGATCAGGCTTTTCACTGTAGGAAATGTTTTAAAGGGGTCATATAATGGTACATGCACTTTTACAAGTTGATTGTACTGAAATGTGTGTTGGCAGTGCCTGTACACAACCATCATAAAATGATAAAAATCCATCCAGTGTTTTTGTTTTAATCTCCTTATATGTTTTCCCCTGCCTCAAATCGAGCCGTTCGAGCCTGTGACGTCACACGCTCGGACGCCCCTCCCACGATTGTTGATTGACAGCAGCGTTTCAACACAGACCCGCCCTCGCTCGTGAGAGCTGTCAATCATAGTCTGCGCGGACCGGCGCGGTCATTGTTGATATGCTGGAGCACTGTCTATGAGCAGAATGGCGTCTAAGCGATTGTGGTGTTCTGTTCTTGGGTGCAATAACGAACACAGCAGTCATTTTAATGTTCCTAAATCCGAACCGCTGAAGACGCAGTGGCTGAGTTTGTTTTTGAAGGGAATATTCCCCACGAGCAACGTCAATGCTCTCATGTTTGCGCGAATCATTTCTCAGCAGACTGCTTTATAAACAAGGGTCAGTATGAGCTGGTTTTGCTAAGAAGCTGCTCATGAAAAAAGCATCGGTACCAGATATTCGTGTTCCTGCTGAACCTCTAGAACAACTGAAGTGAGTGTAACGTTTTATTAAACTTTATATTAATATCTTAATCTTTGCAAATCGTTAGCTGCACGCTTCACAATGAATGCGTCTAAGGTTTACACTTAGGGTACTTTACGGCATGTTTTCTTTGTATGATGTTCTCAATATAATTCATAATCCCACGTTTATAATGAACAATGCGTTATGGTTATTATGTTATTTGGAAACGGTGTACGCACAGAACAGAGGGGCGGGGTGAGCAAAGCTCATTATCATTTAAAGTCATATGCACTGAAACGGCGTGCTGAAAACAGAGCTGTTTTTGACCAGGTAAAATAAGTGTTTTCTTACAATACTAATGAGAATTTTTAATTAAAGTATATTACAAACTTTTAATTTAGACCCTAAAGAATCATACTAGCTTGTACAAAAATGGCATTATATGACCGCTTTAAGTCGAAAGATATCTGGGAGGATAGACAGACATTTTGGCTGATTTTTGACTTTTGGTCAAAATGTGACCTGGTAGGTGGTGCATGGGTTCTGATATATTGTGTGGGCACATTATGTTGACGACCCAAGATGGAATCTAGCTTCCATTTAAAAGCTATGTTCACGCCAACATTCAGTCTATTCAGATCAATGCGGGAAAAACAGCAGGGCAGCGGAGTGCAATTTTCTGACATCCACTTGTCATCCACTGTTTGGAGGAAGTCAAACAGTATTTGCATGTTTTTCAGGCAGGTGTTCAGATTTTTGCATTTGTTATGGTGATCAAGAGACAAGAAAGCTGGTTCCAGATACTTCCTGTGCTATTCACTGTAGCTTAGCAAAATCGTTAATGCCACCAAGTCATAGTTTTATATAACAGCTATGTGTCTGGGCAAGTGTGAATCTTAAGGCCATGACACACCAAGCTGGCCTTTTTTCAGCATCTGTCAGATCAGTTTTTGTGGTGTGTTTCGCACCGCCTCGGCTGCTTGGCCGCAGTTGAGTCGGTGTCAGTCAGTTGGTGAGAAAGATCACTCTGATTGGCTGTTCAGCGAAACAGGTGAAGAAACGTGCAAAGCACAAAGTTCTTTCACCATTCCTGATTTCTAACATGCACTAACCGCGTTTGGCTTGATCTTGCGGCTATCAGAGCAGAAACGAAAGCTGATGCTCTCCGTATGTTTTCCCGTCGTCCCGGCGTGTTCATATGTAAATTGCGCGAGCTTATTTAGTCCATTAGATCGAAAGATCTGAAAAAACACATTAATTTACCCGCCCATAGACCCTCCCCTCGAAGAAATCAGGACAGAAGTGGTCAAAAGTGGACAAAAGAGTCGGATTAAAAAACACCAGGTGTAAACGGGAATGTGTCTCCCTCGCATAGACTGTAAAAAAAGATGGACGACGCCCCTTCGCTCTTTTCCATTGGAGAGAACTGAAGCCGCCAGAGTCCCGATATGGCGCTGACATATTGGAACTTGAGTCTGCGCAATAGCGTTTTCGGGACCAGTCATGCGCAGTCGTGAGCAGGAAGTAAAGCCGCGAAATCAAGGCCCCGCCCTCACGCTCGTTAGATCAATCGCAAGCGCACACGACCCGCAGTTTTCTTAAGTGGCCTTGTCTGCTCCGTTCCTCTCCAATGATGTCTGCTGATTGCAGTACCTCGTTAAAATAAGGTAAATGCAACTACTAACCATATAGTCCACATTATGAAAAAAAAGTCCGTTGGTGCTTCAGTGACTACTTCGCACAGAGAACCTGTCAATCACAGCTGTCAATCATGATGTCACAGCACCGTTTTTATAGCATAAAATAACTAACTAAAAACTAACTTATTTTAAAAACAAACACTTGAAATTACATCAACGTGATAGAAACTACAGTAAATGACAGAAACTATCTTTAGAAAAAAGATATGTGAAGTGTAATTTAACTATTTTGTTGGTCTCACGTCCCGTTCAATAACATGGGGAGGCGGGGCTTATGAGCTATACTAGGACCGGTCACCGGGGGGCGATCGAGACGTTTTGGCTTCACTTTTGAGGGCTTGTGCGGCACGCTTGCTCCCTCGTCTACTTCTGATCCGATTGACCCAAACGCATCTTAATACCAAGTGTAAACAGGGCCCTGGTTTCGTTTTTTTTTTATTTTTTTTTTATGACGGATATGGACTGCTGCCACCTGCTGGTATAGACAGTTATTTCCTCACGCTGGTGCAGAATGTACCTGTTAGTTGGCCGTTGTCTTTAGTCTTTGCGTTGTTCAAGTGCAACTTTCCGGTCGAGGCACAGACGACGCAAAGCGACAACACAGTCAGCTTTCATTAATGATTGTTCTTTGATGTCGGTTTGGTGTGTCACGGCCTTTATTGGTTGGCCAGCTTTATTCACAGTGCGATGAAAAGAGATTAGGACACCTCTCTGTAAATTTTTTTTAGGATTTATGGCATGCAAATATTCATTTTGGTCTGAACAGACCAATATAAGTTGTCTTGGTGTGAACAGGCCTTAAAGGGATAGTTCACGCAAAAATTAATTCTGTCAGTAATTACTCACCCTCATGTTGTTCCAACCGCGTAAGACTTTCTTTCATCTTCGGAACACAAATTAAGAGATTTTTGATGAAATCTGAGAGCTGGCTCACTACTTCATAGGCTGCTAGGTAATTGATATCTGCCGGCCTAGACAGAGTTAAAATAGTCCAAGTGACTACAGTGGCTCAACCTTAAGTTTATCAAGTGACGAGAATACTTTTTGTGCGCAAAAAACAAACAAAAATAACGACTTTATTCAACTATTCATTTTCTTCTGTGTGGGCCTCTGAGTGAGTTCATTTAAGCCCCTTTCACACAGCGCTGTGAACCCGGCAGATTGCCGGCAAATTGCCAGAGTGCCTTCTGTGTGAACGCAAACACGACCCGGGATTGATGCCGGGATCGATGCCGGGTTGGGGACCTAGTAACATTGCCGTGTTCAGACCCGGAACGCGCGCTGTGTGAACAAAAGCCAGAACCAATGCCGTATAAGGGGTGTGTCGTAGTGATGATTCACGAGCCTTTGCAATGACATAGGCTAGTTATCGTGCGACTCAGTTACTCTAGAAGAAAGTTTGTGTTCGTCATCGATACAAGAAAGAACGAAAAAATGTCTGCAAACTGGACTGAAGTAGAGACCCGTCACATCCAACGTCACGCGTCTTTCCGGAACATACACGGGTTGTGTGTGAACGCGCTCTCTGATTCCGGCAAATCACTGGCAGTGTGAATGAAGCAAAATCAAACGAACCCGGGTCAAATCCCGGGTCACTTTATCCGTGTATTTTCCGGAATCTCTGTGTGAAAGGGGCTGTAGTGTAACAGCGCAGCGCTTCTGGGTTGTACGTCAGAACGTAGGCTCACTATTGGCCGAAGCTGGTCATATGTGTGATGCTGGCCAATAGTGAGTCTTATGGAGTTGGAAGAACATGAGGGTGAGTAATTACTGACAGAATTTTCATTTTTGGGTGAACTATCCCTTTAAGCCTGAGTTTCCAGTAAAGTTGTGTCATTTTTTATTCTAACTCTCTACCCCCCATCCCCCATTGTTTCTTGTCTGATTGGTTGGTCAAACAGTCCCATCTAAAACTGTCAGTAGTTGAGATATAACAGACCCAATCTGACCCAATCTGGGGTGTAACGGTTCATGTTTTTGTACCAAAGATTTACGGTACGGATCTTTTAGTTCTGCTCACATTTGTACCGAATGAATGCAGCATTGTTTTTACCATCGCATGTGCTGAACTTATAGTTCTTAATTTGAAACCCTGACATAATATTTACTGTATATCAATATTTTTTGATGCCATGAACATATTTAAAAATTAATGGAGAACAGTGAGCTGCTGCGGGAAAAGTGCACAATCCAAGTTTTAATCATGAGAACATAAAACCATACCTTATCTGTAAATGTTAGAAAGGATTTCCATTTTACAAAAAGGCTCATCCAGCTTCACAGACTTCACTGAAAGACCGCCGTCAAACAGACCGAGTGCAACAATTCTCACTAAAATATACATTTTGCTAAAATATTTTGCACTCAAAAGTTGAAAGCACTTCAAATCTATTCCTCCATTTACAACAGCTCCATAAACTGCAGTACGAAGAGTGTGTTGCATAGACAGGTTTTTTAATTTAAAAACAGAACCATAGTTTGTTCAGTAAAGCACTGTTTAATAAAAAAGAAAAAAAGAAGCAATTTTATTTCCCCATCCCCTCCCTTACCTTATAATACTGTGCCACAAAAATGACTGGTCCCACTTTATATTAAGTGTTTTTAACTACTATGCACTACTGTAACCTTTAAAATACATAATTTGATGCAATGCACTTATTGCATACATACATACATGCATGTTTTTACATTTTACTTGTATTTACAAATGCCTACATGTAATTACATCTATCATTACGCTGTCCCGACCCTTACACTTTAACTTACCCCTAAACCTACCTGCACCAAACCTGTCCAAAGTGTTGGTTACACTTTATTTTAAGGTGTCATTGTTACAGTGTAATTATATATTTAAGTACCGACTAATATTAACTAACTAACTTTTAACTACATGTACTTACTATAGGGTTAGGATTAGGATTTGGTTGAGGGTTAGTTGCATGTAATTATGCATAATTTACTGTTATCACTATGGTAAGTACATGTAACGTAACAAGGACACTGTAAAATAAAGTATTACCAAAGTGTTTTGCAATACAACATGAACACATCAAGTACATTGTACCAAACAATTATTTTTTATGTAAATACGTAGGGGTTAAAGACACCAAATATAAAATGTGCCCAGTCTTTTCTCCTTCCAACACGTGCACTAACCACTCTGACATACGATCCCTGGTTCAGCAGAGGAGAAAGAAAATTTCCTCAAAGACAACATTCCACTCTCAATTAGGATTCAGATATTATCAGTACCCTAACGCCAGAATGGGTATTTGAAATCCTACTGGTTTGAAAATGTCACGGAGTTACGAATGTATCGGTCATGGCCTGTGAGTGAGAAGAACTATTGCTCCTCTGAAGACAAGCTTCAGGACACAAGCGGGATTTACTGTTCTGTTTTCCTCTTGGAGACCACAGACTGTTTGAACATTAAAGCCTGTCAGGGTTGTTGTTTCATTGTGTTATTCTTGAGTGAGTTCAATCCACTCATGCCGTGACTCTTAAAAGGTTGGGACTCAGATAAGACCACTCTTTAAAATCATATTACACTTCAGTTATCTAATCCCAGAATAAAGGCCAAACAAATAAAGCTTCCACTTAGGACCGAACGACAGCAAGGATTTTAGCGCTGTATGAAAGTATGATAGCACTTGATGTTATGTGCCATGTTGTAAATGCTAACTGAAGAGGGTTTGTTGCACACAGAGAATGAAACTTTTATAATAGAATGATTCTTTAACCATGAACAGATTGCAATCCTGCAGTGAAAGTATGTTTACATCATTTATATATAGTATAAGGTATATATAAATACAGAAATGGATTTTAAAAATAGATCACAGATCAATTGTAGATCAACAGTAGTTACAGAATGAAAAAAAGAAAAACAATGTAATTGGATGATTGCAAAGACTAATATTTTGCTTCCTCTCTTAAAGGGAATGTTATCAGAGCATGTTGTTTTTCCCATGGGATAAAGCGAAGTGTTTTGAGTTGGTATGTGTGAGATTTTCTTTGCAGGGGCTAAAAAAGTAAAGCTGCTTCTGCACAGTACAGCTGGAATAGTTTCCATACTTCCTCAGGACTGAATCACAATTTTCTCTTAATTTATTTTATTTTTCCACTACGAAACACCACAGAAACTGTTGTCACCATATCCAAGAGATGCTGTGAAGCAACCTTGTGTTTCTTTTGCAGTACGCCCCTGTTGAAAGCAAGATAGTAAATGTAACCATGACTCCACCAGCTATTGTGCTTCCAAGACAAGTCGGCAAGCAGGACTCCTGTCCTTTGGAGAAAGCAAGGTATTGATGTCATAGACCCATTACAGGATTCCTAATCTCGTTTGATTTATTAGCCTTTAAACAGCAGTTTTAGTAATTCAATCATTGTAAAAAAAAGCTGCTAAAAGAAGTCACTGTTTGCACTTGTGCTGAATGTGAACTGGTAATAATGTGATTTTAATCTGTGTCTGTCAGACCACACAGCCCTAGGCCTCGTCTCTCCCGAAACTCTGCGTCATCATGTCCCATCACCACAGTGGGTATGTTCAACTATACTTGTAAACATACTGGTTTAGATATTTTGTAGAATTTAGAGATAATTATGTTTTCATATGGCATAATATTCATTGTAAAAATAGTCATGTAAAGTAACTCAATGGGCCGGATTTACTAAACAGGGCAAAAAGCGCCAATGAAAGTGGAAGGTTCTGCTCTAGATCCACTGGCGACACGCAAATTAAAGAACAGAGACGCAGCCGGATCATTTTCATTATAACCAACGCAATCTACTAAGAGCAGCACAAATTAGCATCTGATTTAAAATATGCTTTTTTGGGGCGGTAAAACCAGTAAATTGACTACCGCAAACCTTAGTAAATCATGTTGCGTGATTCATTTAAATACTCTCCTCCCATAAATTTTGCATCTGAAAGGGAAACTCCTACAAATGCATATGCAATAAGGTCAGCCGCAAAACTAAGTAACTGTGTCCATGCCTTATCAGTGCTCATTTTTCACTGCGTTTCTTGTAAATCCTGACAGTAGTTTGTTAACGCCAAAAAAGGGTTTGCGCTGACGCAATCTGTTAGTAAAACCTGGCCCTATGTGTTTAAATTTGATTCATTCTTATATTATACATTAGGTATGGCTGTAATAGAAGGAAGCGTGCAAAATAACGAGATGGTCCTCACTGCAGAACACGAAATCCAGGGGGAGGAGTTGGATCCAGATCCAACTCCTCCCACCTTACATATACCTAAACCTACCAATCTCCGCCCCCTGATCCCTAACCCCACCCCTAACCCTAACTCTATCCCTAACCCCACCCCTAATCCTACCCATCTCCGCCCCCTGATCCCTAACTCCACCCCTAATTCTACCCATCTCCACCCCCTGATCCCTAACCCCACCCCTAATCCTACCCATCTCCGCCCCCTGATCCCTAACCCCAACCCTAATCCTACCCATCTCCGCCCCTGATCCCTAACCCCACCCCTAATCCAACCCATCTCCAACCCCTGATCCCTAACCCCACCCCTAATCCTACCCATCTCCGCCCCCTGATCCCTAACCCCAACCCTAATCCTACCCATCTCCGCCCCCTGATCCCTAACCCCACCCCTAATCCTACCCATCTCCGCCCCCTGATCCCTAACCCCAACCCTAATCCTACCCATCTCCACCCCTGATCCCTAACCCCACCCCTAATCCTACCCATCTCCGCCCCCTGATCCCTAACCCCACCCCTAATCCAACCCATCTCCAACCCCTGATCCCTAACCCCACCCCTAATCCTACCCATCTCCGCCCCCTGATCCCTAACCCCACCCCTAATCCTACCCATCTCCACCCCTTAGATCTGGATCCAACTCCACCCCCTGGATCTCGTGTACTGCAATGAGGTGCTACTGAAAATAACTGAAATGCTTCCACTTTGATTTCTGTTTACTTTGCTTCTCCCTTGAGATGAGTTGGCGGTTGTGGTGGTGTGTTTTACAGCTGTGCTTAGGTTGTGTGTGCTCATTTGTGTTTGAGATGATGATGGACATGTGATAGACCTGGTGAAGGATCCTCTTCCTGAGCTGAAGTTATCTGAAGAGGACCGTCAGAAGAATCTGGAGCTGCTCGATGAGGCCAAGAAAGTCAGCGATCGCTTCTTGCAGCGCAGGGGCCGACGCTCCACCTGCAGCCTTTCGGACTCCCCCACAGGTACAACATGATTACACCCCCAGTCAGGACAGTGCTTCTCAAAGAGGGGGCCATAGAGGGCCTTAAGATTTAAACTTAATTTAAAGGTGCTGTATGTAACTTTTTTACTCTACTAAAGCATGAAAATACCATCCTATGTTTGCATACATTTTTAGAAAACATACTCGTTGATATGAAAACACTTCTACAGCCAGTTATTTGATTTATTATTTTACACATTCCGTGTTGTCAGTCGGGGTTTGTGTTGGTCTGTGTGATCTTGCCACTGCCAGTTCACCCAGTAGTATTTCGAAACCCCGGGATGCCAGTTGGCAGGAAACACAGTGTATTGCAGCCAGCAAACAAACTGGGTCAGAGATTGCAGATTCCACACAACCTAAAAAGCCTCGATATCCATCTAAAAATCTCTATGAACGAGAGCATATTAAAATGCGGATAAATCAACTCAACTTACTAATTTTATTAAGTCTCATGGGCTTTTATTGTCAATTGCTCTCGTTTTGTCACGTGTCCTCAAACTGGCAACCCGCGTGAGCGTCGAGTCTGAGGAGGAGGGGCGGGGGAAGCAACGGTCTCTGATATTTTGAATTTGGACTGCAGTACCTATTTCGACCACTAGCCCGTCGGATCCTTCGAGCTTCGAGCTGTCATTCTTACAGACCGCACCTTTAAAAGGAGCAGTAAGATTTCTGAGAAACGCTGTTGATATTTAAAGGTTCTCTAAGCGATGTCGGGTGACGTCACTTCTTGTTGACGTTTAAAGTATTGTCAAACAAAACGGAGGCTAGCTAGACACTCCGTCCTCCTCATCCGCGCACTAACCCCCCAAACCCCGCCCCCAAGTCCTTCTTGTCAGTGATTGGCTGGAACTGTTTGTCATGTTTCGTGGAGCGGGTTAGCCCAGTTTGTTTTTGTTGCTGTTTGTGGAGCCTGGGCTGTCTACAGAGATCGCGTTTCTTTACAGTGTGTTCAGGGGACAGGCAGCCAGCGGTTAGTGAGGAGATGTTTGCTGTATGTGACAAAAAATGTTTTGGCCTAAAAAACGCGTGACATCGCTTAGAACACCTTTAAAATCACCAAAACAAACACGCCCCTCCCAAAAGGATCACACCCCTATCTTGATAGCCCTGCCCACAAATCACAAACACGCTATGCAACACAGGCACCTCCCCCCCTCATGATTAGACACGCCCCCTACTTCTGATTGGCTACAAGTGTGTTGTTGTGCTCAGTTCGATCCACTTTCTACAGTGTTTCTCAGAATTCACTTACTGCACCTTTAATTTAAAAAAATACATTTTAACCTTTTTAAAAAACATCTATTTATTTATTTATTAAAGTAATATAATTTCATTAAAATAATCAAACTTAATGAAAATGCTTTAATCTAAACTGCAATCATATTTCTTTTTTTAAATTTTTTTTTATTCCTTTTTCCTTACTAACTTTTGTTTCGTATTAATTGTGGTTGGTTAATTTAGTATATTTCCCTGTTTGTGTTAATAAAAAAAAAAGGAAAAAAAGCATTCTTGTCATAATTACAACAGAAATAATATAAGATTATTGGGAGTCGTACAACAATGACAAAATTCATAATTGAAGATATAAACATTCAAAACTTACAGCCTCTCACTTCCACAAATATGGATCAATGATTTTGATGACATCACTCTGCACTTCAGCTTCTCATCAGATTTTCTGTCCAATCAAATGCTCTCTAGAATCTGAAGCTCCGCCCCCTACATTATAAAAGCTGCGACTGAAATCAGTCACTTGTTCACACATTTACTGTTTTCTACATGGTGAATGGCACATAGTGCACTATATAGGGGATAGGGAACAATTCGACAGTGTAAATATGCTTTCCATTGGGGCGAATGAAGTCTGATTTCACGTTCACGCCGCAGCTCCATTCCAGAGACATAATAGCACAGAGCGGATCATATGTGCAAGCCGGCAGAAACCACAAATCATATTGGACTCATTTGAATTCTGCACAGAATGCTATATTTTAGAGAGATATGAATGAGATTAGGAGAAACGGTTAGAGATAAGGAGGAAACTGCGGTTTTACTAAAGTCAACGGCTCTGGCCTAAAAAGGGGAGCAGCTTTTTGTCCCAGCCTGTCTTCCTGTTTTAGTGGGAATTACATCAACACATTGAATAATACTGTGCGTTTCAAGGCACTTCAGTGGACCTTTAACAAAAAGTTAGTGTTTAGGTTTTACATGGTCTCAGGAATTTAAAGATTGTCTCATGTTAACATATATAATGTGTAAGTCTTGTTTCTATAGCTTGAGAACGGTGTATTTTATCATTTATCTCAGTCACGTCCCATAGACTTCCATTGTAAATGCAGTACTGTAAACACTATTTCCTGTGGTAACCGACAGCCTGTCAAGTTGTCAACCGAGCAACTGGACAATTATTTCCGATTGACAGTAAAAATGAAGAACACTTCTTCCAAGTGGTGAATGTTTTTGTTGCAATCTTGAAATGTTTATTTCAGAAGCAGCTTGTTTATTTCAGCTTTTGCGATTTCCTTGCTTATCAGGCTTTAACATCATGTCCGCATGTCCTCAAATGTCTTGAGCACCAGCCAAAATTCCTCCTTTATCCTGCAAACCAGCCACAGCATACCGACTTGAGCATATTCACAGGTCGATATATAAGAGATAAAGCGAAGTAATATCCAAACTTTGTCCAAAAATGGCTAACGTTGTCTTTGGGTTACAGCTCTCTCCCCGAACCCAACGCCATGCTCCTCCCCCAGACTATCCAGAAGCAGTTCCCTCTCCGCACCCTCACAACTAGGTACCATGCTGTGCTTTCTGTCACATTTGCCTGCAGAGTCCCTTTCCATGGCTGATCTAAACTAAAGGTTTCGTTTGCTCCACCAGGTCCTGAGGTCTTCGCAACTCCTCCAGCAAGTCCCTCCATAACTCAGGTGAGAGTCACTTCTAACTCCCTTCTATATAGCGTTAAAATTGTGTCTCCTTGGTGATGAAATGTTTAAATGTTTCGTTGTTTTTGGTCAGCATCTGGAGGTACCATCTACCCATGACCAAGAGGATACGAGTAAACCGGAGCAGGAGGTTTGTGTAACTAATGTCATTCCTTCTTCTCTTCTCACTTTAATCTTCCGTCTTCAGTGTTTCAAGTATAAAAACATTAGCAAAGTGTGAATTTTCACTCAAGTCCCCATACTACTCTTTACTCTTATTGTAACCTATAATGTTAGTCAAGTGCTAATTTAGTTCATCATGACCTTTTCCTTTCTAATGCAGTCTGAAGTACATGTGAAATGAGTAGCAACTATGTTTTACTGCATTTACTCACAAAATCTACATTACATTGATTTGAAATGTGTTGCACAAACAGTTCACACTGACTTTTCAACTGCAATTATTAGGTCCATTGTGAAAAAGAAGTACGCATTAGCATGTTTAACCCTTGTGTTATGTTGCGGGTCAATTTGACCCGTTTCGATTTTCTAGGTGTTGGAAATACTGGTTAACCTTTGTTTTTTTTTCTTGATATTTTGTGACTTTTTCTCATTTATCATGATGAACATGCATGCAAAGTTTCAACATGCTGATGTGTTTTGACATATACAAACAAAATTACTATTACGTTCGTGATGTTCGCGGGTCAATTTGACCCTTATAGGCAGCCATTCAAAAGCAACTGTACAGACACAAAATAAAAACATTTATTTTCTGTATGTAAGGGCACTTCAACTCCAGTTCTAACGTGCAAGTGCATCTAAAAGTGATCTAACCCTAACCAAACACACTTGAAAAAGCTAAAATCACAGTGTTTAGAATTATTTGCAAATTACAGATGAAAATCTTTGTCAGACACAGATAGTAAAATAAGCTCTCATTTCAATATTCAAGATATCTAAAATACCTAGCTTTTAACCAAAACTTTTATGTAGGATTTTCAAAGGCAGCTTCACAGAGCCAAAAAATAAATAAAAAACATTTATTTGATGTATGATTTTGTTATGTTTGGTTTCTCACTTCCCTGTGAGTGAATAATGAAACTAGGGAACTAGGTCTTAGGAAACTAGGGAAAGTTAACTTAGGAAAAGTAAAAATTTTCATTATACAGCAAAATTTTATTGTTCAGTTACGATGTTCAAAGCATAAAAATTAAAAAAAAAAAAAAAAGCAAAAAAAAATGTATATGCAAAAAAAGTCAGTATACTGTTATTTATTTTCCAATTTTGTCAAAAATTGGTTTAAAAAATGGTTTAAAACCATTTTTATAAATCATATTTTCAGATTTAATGTTTTTGTAATGTTTGACAAATGTTGATATTAAAAGTTTACAGTTTGTATCTAAATCTTTGTTGTTTTTCATAGTGTGATTTTTGAGGAATTGTATTGAATCCAATTAGAGTCAATTTGACCCGCTCCATAAAGGGTATACACAGAATTCGAACAGTGCACAAGGGTTAATGTTAACTAGAGTAACTTACTATGAAATAATGTACTGAAGTGTGAACTGAATGTAATTGTAACAGTATGGGGAAGAAGGAAGTGGGAACCGGCTAATCTTTAACATGAATTTTAATGACAAAATACAATTCGAAACTGAAAGCGAAACTTTTCAGCTGACTGCCGCACAGGAACAGAAAAGAAACAACAACAACAAATGCCACACATCTGGAGCATTCGCTTTCATGCACTTGTTCTCTCCTTAATCATTAAACTCACTTTTTTGTTTTTGTTCGTTTGCTTCAGACCTTCACGAGGCTAGTAGAGTGGATGCCTAGCGACAAGAAAAAAAAGGTGTCCTCTGGAACTTTAACCCCGCGTTATGCCACCGCCGTGCCAGCCAGAGATCCCGCCCTGGTTCAGAAGGAGAAGCCAGACCATCATAAACCAGTGGACAAGGGGACGAACTCTGAACACACAGCCCAGAAAAAGGAGGAGACTCCTGGCCGTGGTGTCAGTCAACCTCTTGCCACAGGGGTCGCCAAACCCGTCCCCCGGCCACCCACGCAGCAAGCCCCATGCACGGCCGAAATCAAAACAATAGGGGCCTTCCCGCCTCTAATGAGAGCCGTCTCCTGGGACACGGTGGGCTCCATGAACATGAGGAATGCTGCTCCCAAGGGCGAGGAGAGTCTGTCCTTCCCTGACAAATCAAGGGAGTCTCTGTTTAAGTCCTCTGGGTACAAGGACTTCCCTGTGCCACCTGGGACCGTTCAAAAACTGTCCAGTTTGCGTGAGGTAAACCTTTGTTGTCTTTGGCCAACCCGATAACCATGCTTTTTCAATAGTTTAATGTTCCTTTTTATGGCTTTTTCTGAGATTTGAGCCCAGTTGGCAGAGTAAAGGGAATGACATGTCCCTGATTTAGCGGAATCACTATTTGAAAGTTGGTTTATGGTTTTCATTCCTCTTCTAGGAGCACAAGCTGGTGCGTAACCAGAGCATCTACAGCTCGAAGCTTCCTGACCTGAGTGAAACAGCCGAGCAGGAACGAGGTGCGATCATCTTAAATCTAAACTTATTGCAGCTTATTTTTAGGGGCCAAGCACCAATGGATCATATTGTAATCGTTAGTGTTCCTATTTTTATTATTATTCTGCCCTGGAAGTTCTATGGCAGGTCATAGAACTGCTTGCGGGAAAGTTATGAGATTTGGCAAACAGATAGAGGACAGTCTGTCACGATACCACATTTTGGAGTCTCTAACTCATCCCTCTAGTGCCACCAGCTGTCCGAAGCTGCACTAACCTTTATGCTACTAACTTTTGAAGGGCTAGAAATTCTTTTTTTCCTCTGATTCCTTGGCTCAAAACGATTCGAATGCACTCTATATAACGTAATTTTCTGTCATGAAAATCCGATTTTCATGAAAATTTAACCAGATCATCTTCAGACCATGCCTACAAAAAGCCGAATTCAAGTTGATTCGTGAATGACGTGCAAACTAATTAAAGGAAGAGCACGCTAAAATGAACGTGAGGCTATATCTCCGCAACACTTTAGCGTATTGTGACCAAACTTGGTGTGTGTTATGACAACCATGACCTGAGAGTGCTTGCGCAGTTTTGGCGCAGTCACCTTAATTGATTCCTTGGGTCATGTCGAGAACATAGATACCAATATTCCATAGTCTGCCGAACGTCCTTTCCGCCATTTTGAAACCTACTTTTTTCGAACTCCTCCTAGGCCGTTGGACCGATTTTCACCTAAATTGAATCGTATCATCTTCAGACCATGTATATGAATGCAAAAAGCAAAAATGCAAAAAGTTATAGATTTCGCGTCGTTTGATGGATTGTTAACATATACCGCATCAACAAAGTTGAGGCATAATGCCAAAATGACTGTATCTCTGCAATGCTTTGACATATTGAAACCAAACTTTTTCATTGAACCGCTTCGTTGTCTCCTCACTCTGACCACAACACATCAATTTGGTCACAGCACCACCTATTGGTCAAAAGTGATAATCCATTAAATCTTATTAATAGTGACTGCCTAAAATAATTTTAATATGTATTTAATTGCTCATTGTTGCAGTTGATGCAGTCTGATGCTAAAGCCATGCTGGCATGACTTATCGTGCATTCTTCTCTGCTTGCCCCTTAATGGCTGCTTGCAGCTATATTTGTATAAATTGTTGGTTTAAAGGGATAGTTCACCCCCCCAAAAAAATACTGTTTGCCCTCATGTCATTCTAGATCTGTATGACTAACTCTCATTGGAGTATTAGTAGATTGCCTGCTTTATATCTGCTAATTCTTTATTGTGAAGATCCTCCAACAGACATTCTACTAACTATAAGTATCTTTGCATGTCAACATATTCTAACCCGAACCCTACCAGTCTACTAATACTCTACTCACACTTTAATGAGAGTTAGTTGACATGTATTTGACACGTGCAATGTTACTTATAGTCAACAGAATGTGTTAAAGGCACCATCGAAATAAAGTGAAACCATTTAAGTTATACATATCTGAAAGGACATACGGGTGAGTAAATCATGCATGAATTTAAATTTTTTGGGTGAACTATCTGTGTAAGTAAAGCAATCATTAAAGGTTTTTTCTGCTTTTTAAAAAAAATGAATAAAAATGACAAAAACCCATAACAAAAATGACTTATTTAAATACAAAAGTGAAATTACACAAAAAAGTTCAGCTCTTTTGACAGCATCTTTTGGCACTCTGTCTATTATCACACACAATAATTTTGATTCACTCATCAGTTTGTAAAAACAAACAGATTTAAAAAACAGAAATATACAGGATTTGGTTTTATTTAATTTTTTAAGCCATTTTTATTGATCGTTTGGTACAAGAAATTTGTGTTATTTAAGCTGTTTTCTTCTGTATTAGGCAGATGAATTGTTCTTGTTAAACTGTCCCTTTCTGGCATCTCACATGTGTCATGCAGAAGTTACAGGGTTTAGTACTGGCCAGGTTTAGTTGACATTTTTTTGTAAATTAGTAATTGATTTTTCCCCGGTTTCACAGACGAGGTTAAAATGCATGTTTGAGCTGATTTAACTGAAAGCAACTTGCACTGACATATCTTAAAATATGTCAGTGCCATTGTTTTGTCTCAAGATGCACAGCAGTAGTATTTTTATCGAAGGCACGTTTATAAAAGCTACTTAAATGTCCTAATTGAACTAAGGCCTCATCCTGGCTTAATCTAAACCCTGTCTGTGAAACCAGGCCTTTATCTCATAGTCTCATCTGAACACATAATGTTTGAGAAGTCTTGACTATACTTCGTAAATTTGAACATGTAACATTTTAGCCTGTTTTTACAAACAGAGGGACTATTCAACATTACTTTTATGCTCTTTCACAAGTTGTCAGTCTGTTTCTCTGCTGTCAGTAGAGCTTAAAATGATAGTTCACCCAAAAATAAAATTTGTTACCATTTACTCGCCCTCAAGTTGTTCCAAACATGTATGTGTTTCTTTGTTCTGTTGAACACAAAAGAAGATATTTTGAAGAATGTTGGTAACCAGACAGTTGCTGGACCCCACTGACTTCCATACTATGAAGCAAATACTATGGAATCAATAGATTTGGTTAACGACATTCTTCAAAATATCTTCTTTTGTGTTCAACAGAATAAAGAAACTCCTACAGGTTTAGAACAGCTTGAGGGTGAGTAAATGATGACATACATTTTATTTTGGGGTAAACTATCCATTTAACTTTTTTTTTCTTTTTTAAATGTAACTATATTCTTACAACACTATGTGGCACATGTATGTCACAATCAACATGTAGTGCTTGTAATCATTTCTTTTACAGTTCTCTTAAAGGTATGTTCTAACTATGTAATTTTTGATGCTCTAGATTAGAGGTTAATAAACAAAACTGCATGCGTCTAGCGGAAGAACACTGTAGCCGGAGCTGCTTCTCTCTGTTTATGTCTATGACGAGTCGCGCAGGTACTGGGATTTTCCACAGCATTTGTCGTCCCACCAGGGCTAAAATATTCAGAATATAAACACTTATCATAGGCGTACCATAGTGATTCAGAATAAAACAAAAACATGGTTTGGAAGATGGACTCATTATGTACTCTCATTGTAAATATGATCAAAAAATCGATCTTTAAATATGCTGCATTAAATCTCAGTGATTGGTTCATCTCTCAGGTCCACCCTCTCCACTCACAAGCTCTCCCAGTGAAGAGGAGGCCAAAGAGAGACCTGACGCTATGCCCAACATTTCAGATGTCATGCTGCGCAAGCTCAAACTGCACAGGGGTTTACCTGGCTGGTACGCTCATAAATCCATCATTTGAACATAGAAATATCAATTACCTACTAATAATTTTACCCCCTCCCCCCTCTTTTTTTGTTGCAGCGCACCCCCGCTCTCAGAGAAGGAAGTTGAGGTGTGTGTATTCTTATATAATTGTATATAGATTTATTTTTCTTTTAAAAAAGTCCTTATGACAATGAGATTATTCAACGGTTTTTACTCATATTTGACACTTGTTAGTTTTAGACTCTGTATATAATAAAAGAAAATACAGTGCAGGTGTGCAGAAATCATAATGTTGTCATAACTGCATCACAGCTGATCTAGTTCAGTAGTGTTGTCCAGAATGCGGCTGTTTTGATATGTAAGTGAAGGCCATGGCTGAGCCTGGCTTAGGACATGGCAATTTGATGGGCTTTAGTGAGTTCCTGTCCCCTGTGAGGAAACTAACATGCCTTTGTGAATATCTGCTCCCAGGATGACGCTAGTGAGGGTCAAGGGCTGGATGTACTTTCCTCTCTAATATTCAGACAATACTGGCTGTACTCCTGCCGCATTCTTTGATCCTGACAGTAAAGTTCCCATGATATTGATGCTTTCTTTAGTCCTGCTCCAGTTCTCAAAAGCACAACCTCTTGTAAAGTCAAGTTATTCATCTACCATGTGTATTAGAGAAGTCTGTATATTAAACCCTACAAAACCGGCAACTCAAATGTACACTACCATTCAAAAGTTGAGGGTCTGTACAGTATGTATTTATTCATTTTTGAAAGAATAAAATATGAAAAAATGTGAAATTGAACAGAAATGTTTCTTTAGCAGCAAATGATCATATTAGAATGATTTCTGAAGGATCATGTGACACTGACTGGAGTAATGATGCTAAAAATTCATCTTTGCATCACAGGAATACATTACATTTTAAAATATATTCAAATAGAAAACAGTTATTTGACATTTTAACCATATTTCACAATATTACTGTTTTTACTGTATTTTTCATCAAATAAATGCAGCCTTGGTGAGACTTTTTCCAAAACATAAAAAAAAACTGTACAGTAGTGTATTTTCACAATAATTTGTATCATATTTCTTTATATAATCTGTTCTCAGGTCATAATCTGTACTTGAATAGTTTTTATTAGTAGTAGTAGTAGTAGTATTACCCACAAATATATGCTATATATACATATTAACATTTAAAGAAAAGCTACAGACAGTGGAAACGTGGTTTTTAAATATAATTTTCAATGTCATTTAAAATATATATATATATATAATTTCAGATTATTTTTCTCTGTGCTCGTCTTTAAAATGCTCACCAAATGTTCATTCAAATTTTCTGGGTAAAAACTTCTGATTACAAACTGAACAGTCAAATTAATTCATTAATGTGACTAAAGTCATTATCCTGTCAAATATATGACGCATAGCACTTCCTGAGAATGACATTGCATTTATCTGTGCCAGAGGCTTATTGAAACATGTGAAATCAGTTGTGTTTTCAACAGTGACCAATACTTTCACAGCAAATCGATGCATGTTGTGTTTTAATGGCCATGTTTTCCGTCTTCTCCCTGCAGAACGCATTTGTCCAGCTGTCCCTGGCATTCCGCAACGACAATTACACGCTGGAGTCGCGGCTGAAACAGGCGGAAAGGGAGCGCAACCTGACTGAGGAAAACGCAGAGAAGGAACTGGAAGAGTTTAAAGGCAGTCTCAAGGTCAGAACTCAACCCACATAAACACACATGTTGGGAATAAACTAGAAAATAGCTTGATTTTTTTGTGTGTCTGCATGCCATTCCAGAGCACTGTGTCAGTGTGGCAGAATGTTGAGCAGCGTGAGTTTTACCAGCAACTCTTAGAAACGATCGCCGTATTACATCGCCTGACGAACCGCCTCTCCAGCAGGGCTGAAATGGTGGGAGCCGTGCGGCAGGTGAGATGCTCATCATTCCAGCGCCAGAACTTCATGTGGACTTCTATAGCTGCGGTCACTTGAACCAAATTTCAGTGAAACTTTGGAGGCAAGAAAGCTCAATTGTCAATAGTGTGGCGATGTATGATGCACAGCTCACACAGAAGTCACTTTCAAGCCAAGAAAGTGACTTTTTGTTGGTCAAAGCGGCGAATTCACGTGACCAACTGAACCCGATGTGGAATCTGAGTGGGGAACTTTTTTTACCCTCAAGATGTGGTCATATTAGCTATATTTTGCGGTTCCACTTTATTTCGATAGTCCACTTTAGACATTCTACTAACTATAAGTAACTTTGCAATTACATGTCAACTAACTCTCATTAGAGTATTAGTAGACTGTAGTAGACTGTTAGGTGTTAGGGTTCGGGTTAGTAGAATAAGTTAACTTGTAGTTTACTTATAGTCAGTTGAATGCCTGTTGAGGAGCATCAAAATAAAGTGTTTGCAGATATTAAGCAGACAGTCTACTAAGTTAGTTGACATGTGATTGTAGAATGGACTATTGAAATAAAGTGTTACCAATTTTGCATGCAAAATCTGGTCCATTGTCAATAGCATATAGATATATGAAGTTCTGCTCACATAGTAGTCACTTTCAATCCAAGCAGCTGCACTGACCAACATGAACACGAGTGAAATCTGCACGGGGAACCTCACGCGTAACTCTGGAATCCACAGATTCCCATTGGAATGACTGGATTTCACACACGAGCAACTGTAAATGTGACCACACCTTCACGCAAACTCCCCATCACACAGATTCCTATTGAAATGACAGGATTTTGCCCTCAAACATTTGCCAAACAATGGTAAATGTGACCCGTACCTTTACCATTGCTCTACAACATTTGTTTGGGCGAAATGCAGTTATTTCAATATGAATCTACGTGATCCAGAATATTGCGTGAAGGTGTGGTCACATTTACCATGGCTTACCGTAATTTTGTGGATAAAATCCTGTCATTCCAATAGGGATCCGCATAGGGCTGTAGTCAAGACCACCTTTGTCGAGTCCAAGACCAGGACTTGTCGAATCCAAGTCAAGACCAAGGCCAAAGAGGTTAGAGTCCAAGACAAGACCGAGTCCAAAAAGGTCCGAGTCAAGTCTGAGTCCAGGACAGGAAAAAAGTCTTGACATTATGACATTAAATGACAATAATTTGGGTTATTATTTGTTGATCTAAAAGCAAAAACAGTGTCACAACACCCAGGATTTTTAAGTATAGACATTCCCCTTGATATCATATAATCTTCTAATCTAAAGAAAAAAGAATGATGACATATGGTGATACCTCATAATAGCAGTGTAAGAACTGATACAAACACCAACCCACTACTATTACCACTGCTAGGTACAAGTAGCCTACTGAGCATTTGAGCAACTAAATGACAATATAGCTTCACTCCAGTAAAATATATCTGTGGTAATTTCTTCACGTTAAACCGAACTTTTATTTTGACGAGTTTCTGAGTGTATCTGACGATGAAATGCTGAAGATAAACGTGTACTTGAGTATGTGTAGTACACGAACCTGCGGCACTCACTTGCAGAGACTCACTGAACAATCAGATTTGATAGCAGTCTTTAATATCCACAGTGACTAGTCCATAAAGCAATTTCATATTATGATCGGCAGTGAATAGACAGATCTGTTATTTTAGCTATGCGCCGGTATTGCAGTAGCAAATAGTAGAAAAGAAATCACACACGCGCAGGTCGTACTTGTCAATGACGGGCACTACAATCTGCGGTAATCTGCGGAGGTTTCTGTGGAAGTCTGCGGGTGCATACTACAATAATACGTTACTGGGAACATAAAAAAGACACCTGGACTCGGTGGAGACCAAAAGCCATATTTGGCAAGACCAGTGGCCGAGACCGAGACAAGTCCGAGTCCGAATACCAGCGAGTCCGAGACCACAGAAAAACGGTCTCGAGTCCGGACTCGAGTCCAAAACCGGACTCAAGTACTACAGCCCTGGATCCGCATGACTGGAAGTTTCGCGTGAGGGCAAAAAAGTTCCCCAGACAGATTACACTCTTGTTCAAGTTGGTTGCACAAGTTCACTGCATTGACCAACAGAAAGCTGCTTGGTTTGAAAGGGACTTCTGTGTGAGCTGTACTTCATGCATCACTACACTATTGACAATGGACCTTTTTTTGCAAAAAGAGATTTTGGAGAAATTTTTCCTTCAGGGTCTCTCTCGGCCCCGCATTTTAAGTGCTCTTCGTGTTTTCATGAGAAAACTATCCTTTGTCTCTGTGGAGGCACTAGATGGGAATGTTTATTTTCTGGCAGATAAGAGATGTTTGTGATAGATTTAGCTAAGTGTCATGCTTGCCCTTAGGTTAATGTGCAAGCTAAAGTAAACCAAGTTAACAGAGAAGGACTCAGCGGTATGTCTGTTGCCAGTGGTGACACTATTAGGCATTGCATGGGTTCACTGCAAGTATCATTACCTCAACTCACCATGCCTCAGTTACATCCCATAACTTTATAGTGACTGATGATACAAATATGTTTGAGGGTGAATGATCAAAGAATGAAGATCTTATTAACACCCTCAATACTCATCACATTTATTTTAACAAATGCATTCGAAGTCTACTTTTGCATAGTAGATTTGCATAGTAGAAAATGAGTGTGTGACACGGATTACATATTTGATAATTTGCTCAACGTCATTTAAGACATGACCCTGAATTAACATCTTTGTTGGTCCAGCAACAACATTAGACAGAGACCTAGCAACTACTATATCCTTTTTTGGGAGATAATAATTTTACTTTAAGAATATCATCTTGAATGGAAGCTTGTTTCTTCCATGGAATAAAAATAAAATAGCTAATTGTAACATTTTACCTCATAATTCAGATTTTTGACCCGCCCCCCTTAGTTACTGTCGCTATGTCCGACAAGCTACGCTGCTCTCTCACACACACACACACACACACACCATCATGGTCTCACGCAGTGAAAAATACATCGCGGACTGACAACACGCTGACAGACAGGACAGACCAGGTTACTTTTCAGTTACTTTTGATATTAAACATATTAAACAAAGTCTCACCTTTCAAATTTGGTCATTTAAAAAAGAAGAAATTTAAACAATAAATACCGTTTTGTGGCTCGATGTGTCTGACAGATCGCTGTAGAGCATCAGTTAAAGCTGCTCGTGATCCGATCATCTCTTCCTTATAGTTCATAGCATCAAATAAACATGAATGAACATAAGAAGGAATGTTGTTTTAACCGCAGAAAGGTATCCGTACATTCCGTTTTTTTCAAAGTTCATATCCTCCCATGTTAATCTACTAACTCCTCTGCTTTGTCGGACAAAATGGCGGATGGCGAAGTATGATTGGTCAGATCACCTGTCAAGAATCAAGCTCCCAATTCTGACTTTTTTCTCGCAATTGGAAGTTTAAATCTTGCAATTTTAACTTTATTTCTCACAATTGCGAGTTTACAGTATGTCTTGTAAAAAAAAAAAAAAGGTCAGAATTCTGAGATAAAGTCACAGTTACTGTACCTTTTTTATTTTTCGACCAAAAATCCCAGAGTTCTGGAGATGCACTGTACACAGCGGATTGTGCATATGATAACGTGCCTTTGCTTTGGCCGTGGCAGGAGAAGAGAATGAACAAGGCCACTGAGGTTATGATGCAGTACGTGGAGAATCTGAAGAGGACGTATGAGAAGGACCACGCTGAGCTGATGGAGTTCAAGAAGCTCGCCAACCAAAACTCCAACCGCTGCTATGGGGGTTCAATAGACACTGGAGGTAAATGGAAATCATCCAGGGCTTCAAAACCACAGTTTTGCCCCCAAAACATGCTAAAGTTTCATATTTCACTTATGCATTTCTTACAGATGATGGTGTTCCACGTACATCAAGATCCATGTCTCTGCAAATGGGAAAGGTAGGCAGAAGTCTGTTCCTAAAGAATTCAAAAAGCCTGATGCCTTAGGAAAACTTTTTTTCGAAGTTTTCGAAGTTTCTTCCAACTAAAACAGGGAGTTTTTTTAAATGGTCAATAGCTTTTAGATTTTCTTGCTAGTCAGATTAAGGCAGTATTAGGAATAACATTTTCTTTCTAAAGGACATTTTATTGGATACAAATTTGGATATGCCTCAAAGTACAAGATGAATTTTACACAAATGGTGAGACTGTAAGTCATGTAGGAGAATTCACATTACATTTTAAATAAGTGCACTGCCGTTCAAAAAGTTTGGGCTCACCGAGACATTTTATAATGTTTTTTTTTTTAAATAGATGACTAAACAGGGCTGCAATTATTGATCTAAATTACAGTAAAAACACTAATATTATGAAATATTGATACAATTAAATATTGGTACAAAACAACTGTATTATATTTACATATACACTGATGATCTGTGTATATGACTGAATTTGTCAGCATCATTACTCCAATGTTCAGTGTCACGTGATCTTTCAGAAATCATCCGAATACGATAATTTGCTGCTCAAACATTTCCTATTATTATTAATGCCTTCAACACTTGTGCTGCTTAATACTTTTTGTGTTTTTTTTTTTTTTTTTTCAGGATTCTTAGATAAATAGAAAGCATTTACAGTATTTGAAATAGAAATCTTTTGTAACATTATAAATGTCTACACTGTCACTTTGGACTAATTTAATGCATCCTTGCTCAATAAAATTATTAATTTCTTTCATTAAAAAAATCGTACTATCCCCAAACTGTTGAACGGTAGTGTATATGTACTGAAAGTTATTTTGTTAACTTTAGGAGTACACTAGCATTCAGATAAATTTGAAGCCAGAAAGCAATAAAACTCTAATTTTGGTTTCATGGGATCTTTAAGTTCCGTGTTTCATAGAAAACCAGGAGATGCAAATAACCATATTGGGCTTCACTTTTCTTCTGTGAAAAAGTACACTGATCTGAAGAACCTGTAATGTAACACACTTTTTAAATCTCTAAAAATATGATTGCTGAACCAAAGGTGCAGACCTTTATTTTGAATCATGTACCAATAACATCAATCTAGATCATAGAGAGAGAGAACATGAGACAAAGTGTTCATGTGATGAAGTATTTAGTTTAAGAGAGTGTGTCTTTGTCTCTCTAAGGCTTTGCCCAGACGGAGAGTCAGTGTAGCTGTAGTTCCCAAGTTTAATCTGCTGAACATCCCGGGGCAGACGCCGGCCATCGCTGGTCTGAACATTGCACCCGGTGCCCTTCCTGTGGTGGTGAGTCCTATCTCAAGCACACTGCCTCGTCAGCAGACTTGTGTAATTAATGATGCTTTATCTTTAACTTCCTTACATGTTGCATATTATCAAGGTGAACATTTGAGGCCAAAGCCATTCATCAAAATGAGACCTTCAGGATTTCTTACTTGATTGTGTTCTACTTTTGTTTAAAGTGTGAGGCAAACACCATTAAGAATGGCAGTTCGTCAGACCCTACACAACAAGATGTGCCTGACAAACCGTAAGTCACTGCCTTTCTCGACTTTGCTGTCACGTTCCCCATAAACTGTGTAGATGATCACGCATTCATCAAGTTATGCTTCGGAACTGTATTGTATTCCTAGACAACCTAGGTAACCTCAGTTTCCTTAAAACAATAGATCAATTTGAGCTTTATCAAAATATTCGCGTCAGGAAAATGTTGCATGATTACATGTTGCCCATCTAAAGAAGCTTATTCACCTACACTCTTAAAAACAAAAGGGGAGAAGGGACTTTTTTCAGAGATGCCATAGAAGAACTATTTCGGGTTCTCCAGAGAACCTTGTGAATATGTGAATAAAAGCCTAAATTCAATCTGTTCATCACATAAAGCGATCGAGTCTCTTCAGAAAATTTGGACTAAACCGCTCAATTCACATTAATTAGTTTTACGATCTCTTTATGAACTTTTTGAAGTGTTAAAGTGGTAGTTGCGTAGCTGTCAATGGAGGGACAGAAAGATCTCCGATTTGATCAAAAAAGATCTTCATTTGTGTTCCGAAGATGAACGAAAGTCTTACAGGTTTGGAACGACATGATGAGGGTGTGAATTTTCATTTTTTGGGTGAACTATGCCTTTAAAAGAATAATTTTATGTGAAGAACTTAATAATCTGAAGAACCTTTTTCCACTATAAAGAACCTTTTGTGCAATGGAATGGTTCTTTATTAGCATCAGTGGTTCCATGAAGAACCTTTAATATCCATAGAACCTTTCCATTGCACAAAAGGTTCTTTTATAGTGGAAAAAGGTTCATCAGATTATTAAAAAAAATAAAATAAAAAAAAAGGTTCCCCACACTAAAAAAAAATGGTTATTGGTTATAAGTGGTCACTGAGAGGTTATTTGGAGAACCACATTTGCCGGTTCAATGGCATTGCTGTGAAAACCCCCTTTTTGGAACCTTTATTTTTAAGAGTGGTTCCATGGAAGCACAGATGCCGATATTATAAGATTATAACTCACCCAACCTTCTCGTTTTTTTCTGTGTGCTTAAAATAGCACACAAGAAGTCCCACAAAAGTCCCATCTGCAGTCAGTTTTACATCCTATCTTGTGATTAAATCTAAACATTTGGACAGGAACGTTTGACAAAAAGCAGTCATCAGTGTCCATTTTGTTTTAGTAAGAAAAGGCAAAGAGCTAGTCACCGTACTGTCATATCCAAATGCCGGGTTTTAACTCAAAGACAGAAAGACAATAACAATCTGGTAAGATGCGTGCTATTCTAAACCGAGTGATGTTTAAAGACCTCCCAAAGGACGTTTAAACATTTCATGTCACACCTTTGTCACAGCTGCAGTGGTGTGTGTGTGTGCCATGTGGCGTTTAAGAATCTCCTTTAGGGCAGAGGTTGTTTTTGTTATTACCTGTGGTTATGAACTGAGAGAGCCCGTTGTGTTGTTCACACACATCTGCGTAATGGCAATTTTTTTATTGCTCCATCCCCGTCTCTCCTTTCCTATGTGAAACAAAGCAGTGGAAACCCTCTGACGGAGCAGGAAAGTGAAGCAACGCCAACCAAAGTTATCTGCAGTCCAGAGAAGATTACAGAAGAGATCAAAGCCAAGATTGAAGAAGAAGCGTATAACAAAGGGTAACACGCTTGCTGTTTTAATCTGTGTGGATGCACAGTGACTAGTTACATATCATGCAGTTGCATAATTGTAAAACATTCTCTAGAAACAGTGCCGGAACAGAAGTTATCACTTCTTTTGAAAACCGAGGTTGGGTCAAATTGGGGACCACCATAGTAGGATGCTTCCTCCTCAATATTGATTAGTTGTCAACAAATATGTGGGTTACGCTTTATTTCGATGGTTGAATTTAGACATTCTGCTAACTATAAGTAACTTTGCGACTACATGTCAACTAACTCTCATTAGAGTATTAGACTATAGATGTAGAAAGGCTATTCAGACCTATTACTTATGAATAGGAGAAACTGCAACGCACAATATGGCAGAATAAGCCCCCCCTTCTAAGTAAAAGAGCCAATCACTGATTGATAAAGTCATTGCGTCACTGCAGCTGCCGTTCGAAGCTCCGGTTCACATAGAAACCTGAGACTCGTGCTTAGGACTGCACAGGCGCATTGACTGGTCTAGCCTGAAAATATTTTTTTTTAATGCTGTTTTAGCACAAGAAACAACGGTAGCACTTTATTTTACAGTCTAACCTTAACCCATGTATTTACTTTACATCAACCAGAACTTTTTAAGGTAAGTACACTGTAAAATAAAGTGCAACCGAAACCACCTTAATGGGACAGTTCATGTCAGATTTTGTTGCTGAATTGAAATATGTTATTTAATTGTGAGTTCGGCAAGCACTTTTGAGCACATTAGAATCTCATGAGATTAGTGGTCAACAAATATGTTTTACCTTAAAAGGGTGATTTTTAAACCATATCCCTAGTCCTAAATATGTTGTTAGAGCTTTATTATAGCCTGTTTCATTAAAGGAGTAGTTCACTTTTAAAAAAACTTTCGCTGATAATTTACTCACCCCCATGTCATCCAAGATGTCCATGTCTTTCTTTCTTCAGTCGAAAAGAAATTAATGTTTTTGATGAAAACATTCCAGGATTTTTCTCCATATAATGGACTTCCATGGGAACCAGACGGTTCAAGGTCCAAAAGACAGTTTCAGTGCAGCTTCAAAGGGCTTTAAACGATACCAGACGATGAATAATGGTCTTATCTAGCGAAACGATCGGTCATTTCAAAAATAAATAGAAAAGTTGAAGTTTAAAAAGCACAAATGATACACGTTCGTGACTCTCCTGCTCGAACTCGTTCATCAAAATGAACGAATCTTTTTTCGAGTCATTTCGTTCATTTCGTTAGTTGAATGAACGAAATGACTCGAAAAAAGATTTGTATCATTTGTGCTTTTTAAACTTCAACTTTTTTATTTATTTTTGAAATGACCGATCGTTTCGCTAGATAAGACCATTATTCATCGTCTGGTATCGTTTAAAGCCCTTTGAAGCTGCACTGAAACTGTCTTTTGGACCTTGAACCGTCTGGTTCCCATGGAAGTCCATTATATGGAGAAAAATCCTGGAATGTTTTCATCAAAAACCTTAATTTCTTTTCGACTGAAGAAAGAAAGACATGGACATCTTGGATGACATGGGGGTGAGTAAATTATCAGCAAAAGTTTTTTTAAAAGTGAACTAATCCTTTAAGTTTGGAATTCATAAACCGTAGGCTACTTAAAATTTGTATGATTTGAAGATGCAAAAAAAGGTCAGCTTTATTGGACAGCAAGTAAATATTGCACCGCATCACATTATTAACAGTCAATCTTGTGCTT